TTTAATGAGGGAAATAAGCTCCTTTTATAGAAACTCACAGGTGCAAGAGAACAAAAAACAATGGGTGGGGGTGGAGGTCATGAAGAGTTCTTGTGTAACTATCTTTTCTCATTTTCTCGGGTATGGCTGTTACCATCAGTTCTTGACAGCCTAGCTTAGGTCAAAATGTTGCTGTTAGGCAAAACAATCACAGCATGCAGCCCTCCCAGGAAGGGTTGCAGCATCAGCTCTTTCCGTGCTCTTGTCCACTGCTACTTCAGCAGTCTATCCCATTTGGCTCCTTAGCTTAGGGGGTCATCGTGAGGACACCCAGTTCACCCAGCCACACACACACACACTCATACACATGGTCACGATGCTCTCACAGTCACACGTTCACATGCACACTTACACACCGCTCAGCCATGCACACACACTCATACACACAGTCACGACGCTCTCGCAGTCACACGTTCACATGCACACTTACACACCGCTCAGCCATGCACACACACTCATACACACAGTCACGACGCTCTCGCAGTCACACGTTCACACGCACACTTGCACACCGCTCAGCCACGCACACACACACTTATACACACGGTCACAATGCTCTCACAGTCACGCATTCACACGCACACTTGCACACTGCTCAGCCATGCACACACTCATACACACAGTCACGACGCTCTCACAATCACGCATTCACGCACACACTTGCACACTGCTCAGCCATGCACACACACTCACAGTCATGACGATCTCACAGTCACGCATTCACATGCACACTTGCACGCTCTCACAGTCACACTCGCACACACCTTGAACTCGTTGCTGATCTCATGCTTCTTGATAATGGCCGCTTCCTGCACGCGGATGCAGAAGTCCCAGGAGGAGAAGACCTTGGAGCTGAGGGGCACCCTGTAGTCTTGGCCCAGGAATGGCTTCCGTGGCAGCCCCTTCATCATCCTGGGGGGGAGGCAGGAGCCAGGGGCTGCTGGGGGAGGGGCACCACTGCCCTCCAGTCTCAGCCTCAGCTTGGCTCTGGGTCTGGGTTGGGAAGTCCCCAGCAACCCCTGGTGCAGGCCTTGGTGAGTGGGGGGTGGGGATATAGGGGCAGTGGCCCTTCTCCTGTGCCTCAGCCTCAGCTTGGCTCTGGGTCTGGGTTGGGAAGTCCCCAGCAATCCCTGGTGCAGGCCTTGGTGAGTGGGGGGTGGGGATATAGGGGCAGTGGCCCTTCTCCTGTGATCTGCAGCAGGGACACATAAACTCAGGCTGAAGGACCATTGATGAGCCTTACCGAACAGGGGCCAGGGCCTTCCTGCCAACTTGGGGTGTACCCTGCCAAGGGAGGGGTGATCAGGGAAGACCCTCCAGAAGGGGTGAAGGAACGGGCCCCGCTCTCACCGCCGCAGAGTCCCACAGAAGCAGAGGAGCAGGCAGGCCAGTGGGCTAAGGAGGTAGGCCAGGCGGATGCTGTATGCTGAGCTGCTCTCCGGCCCTGCCCGGTATGCGCCATAGAAGAGGTAGGTGTTGTTGAAGGCCTGGGGACATTGATGAAGACGACTGAACACGAGTCGAGTGCCAGGCTCTGTTCCAGTGCTTTCCGTGTATTAACTCCCAAGCCTCTCAAAATAACCCCACCAGAAAATTTAACAACAACAAAAAAAAAACATAATTATATTTCTTAGGCCCGCAGTGTACAAAACTTACACAATCCTAATAAACACATCAAAGAATAATCAAACAAAATTTGTGAGGTAAATAAAAATATTGAGAAGACAAGCAGAGGAAAAGTCAATGGATATTGTCTAAAACTAAATAAAAAAATAAATAAAAAGGAGCATAAAAAAAAAATAAAATAACCCCACCAGGTAGGGGGTGTCCCTATTTTACAGAGGCTCAGAGAGGTTAGGCAACTTGCCCAGGGTCACACAGTTTTAAGGAAGAGAGCCAGGACTCAAACCCAGGAGCCTGCACTGGTAACCACTCAATGGCTTCCAGAGATGAGACTGTGTGGGGTGTGCTTATCCCAGAGGCCTGGACACTTTTACCCTCTTGCTCCATGCACCCCCACCCCAGCTGGGCTTTGAGGGGCCATGGGCACATGTCCATGCGCCTGTGTTGTACACAGTGGCCTCAGCCTCTTTCTGACCCCATCACTGGTCCTACCAGACTGTCTGTGTAAGACCATCCCCCAGAAGACAAAATGTCCTTGGAGGGGTGGGGGTCTTCTTAGACTTGAATCTGAAGCCAGTTCCCTGGGTCTCCCAGTGCCCCTGGACCATGACCAGGACAGACCCCACTCACCTTGCCAGTTAAAACATTCCAAAGCTGATTATGGAACTTTGGAATGCCAGTCTGGGGCTGGTGGCCACCAGGGCACTGGAGGGCTGTTGAGGAAGGAGAGGGGGCCAATAGGGAGGGATCCCCAAGGCATAGGTGAGGTTCTGCCCTTCCCCCTCCATAGCCCCCTACCCCGGGGAGGCCTGAGCAGGGCACTAGGGACGTGTCAGGAGGTGTGCCACATCCCAGTGCTGGGCACAGCAGGAGCATGGCCAGGGTGGGGCACAGACCCAGCCCCTGACGGTGCCCCTGACGGAACTAGTCCCTCCTTGGGCCAGGCACTCACTCAAGTTAAGGGCGGGGCCTGGGCCGGGAGGGCTGAGCCAGGCCAGGGGCAGCAGCACCAAGCTGGTGGTCAGCAGTAGGGTCAGCAGGTTAAGTAGCAGCAGGAAGCGAAGGAAGGTGAAGTAGGACTGGATTCCTGTGCCGAAGAGGCCTGTGGGTGACAGAGGCAGAGCCAGGGGCCCAGGCTGAGAATCCAGGCTGAGCAGCCCAGTAGGGCGGGGGGTCCAGCCTCAGGGGGACCTGCCTGAGCCTGGTTTAAGGGCAGTACCGCTGACAGCCCCCAGGGGAACTGTCGTCCCTGGAGGTTTGCATCTGGCTCTGGGGGCACAGGAGGGAGAGCGAGGGGGGAGGGGTTGATTGGTGGGGGTGCACCTGGGCAATGGCAGGGGGATAGTGTCCTCCTCCCTTTTCCAAACTGGACATGGAGACTCCAGAGAGGGGAGGTGGGGGCTGACGTGCAGGTCCTACCCCCTATTTCGTAGAGAGCCCCCTCCCAGAGCCCAAAGCCCCGGGCCAGCTGCTGCGCCGCCTCCCCCAGACGTCGGCCTGCCATCTGCTGCCTGCGCTGCCACCGCTGCCAGCACGAGGTCTTCACCCCCTTGGGCTCCCGCAGCTGCCTGGGATAGGGGTGGTGATGGGGTGCCTGTGAGTCACCCACGCTGTCCACCCCCTCCCCCATCCGACAGGTGCCTCCTCGCGGCCTCCCCGGCCCCCACTGCCCCGTGCACCCACCTGATGAAGCGCTTGTCCACCATGGCGTAGGGCAGGGCCCGCAGCGGCTCCCGGGACGAGCACAGCCGGTCCATCTCCTGTTCCCACAGCTCCTCGCCCAGCTCCGGACCCGGCTCCCCGGGGGCCTGCCCGGACTGCACTGACAGCTGCCGCAGCATCTTGGCAGACGGGGTTGAGGTTGGAGGCCCCGGGCTGCGCCCCCACTCCCAGGAGGGAGATGGGGCTCCAGGGGAGTGAGCCCCAAGGTCTTGGCCCTGCCCGGAAATGAGGAGGGAAGGTCCTGCTGGGGGAGGGATCTGGGCTCAGTCCCGCTCTACCTCTGAAAGCCACACGTGCCCAGGGGCCTCAGTCCCCCCATCTGTCAAATGGGGTGAAAGACCCAAAGGGCCCGGAAAGATGGAACCATCACAGACAAAGTCAAGCCTTGCTCAGCCTCCCCTCACCTGCTACCTGTGGCCAGCGGCCTTCCGGGTCACCCTTTGCAGAGAGGATTCCTGCTCTTCAGGTGCCAATTCACGCTTTGGGAAGACGCCCCTTTCCTAAAGCCCCACACTTCCTGGGATCTGGTAACCTGCATCTCACAGGCTCTGGACGTGCCAGGACCCCCTCTGTCTTCTCCCTTGTGGTCCAGCAGGTCCTGCTGGGGGAGGGATCTGGGCTCAGTCCCGCTCTACCTCTCAAAGCCACACGTGCCCAGGGGCCTCAGTCCCCCCATCTGTCAAATGGGGTGAAAGACCCAAAGGGCCCGATAAGATGGAACCATCACAGACAAAGTCAAGCCTTGCTCAGCCTCCCCTCACCTGCTACCTGT